TTCCCCCCCCCCCACTTTCTTTCTTTCTTTCTTTCTTTCTTTCTTTCTTTCTTGCTTTCTTGCTTTCTTGCTTTCTTTCTTGCTTTCTTTCTTTCTTTCTTTCTTTCTTTCTTTCTTTCCCCCCCGACCCCGCACTCTCTTTCCTCTCCCTCCCTCCCCCCTATCCTATTCCCCCCCCCCCCCCCCCAGTTGTGTTTAATTCCTGACGGACTGATTGGAGCTTCTGTTCTGAACAATATTTGCTCTTTTGCCTCTTTGCAGAGCCTCCTCTGGCAGGAGCATCAACATCTGCTGCTGAAGCTGTTACCAGGTAACAACAGCTCTTATTTAATATCGCACTGCACTCCTGTGTACGCACGTTTCAGTTGTTTTACCTCTGCTCATCGTTTCAGCACTGTTTGCACAAAACCAGTGCGCTATCTGCTTTTGCATTTTTAGACACAAATGCTTGGAGTTTGTGACACCCTTTTTCAGCTTTTACGGACTTCCCCGTCGTCGTCCAGGACATGGGAACAGGCCACTCTGTCCATCCAATCCCTGCTCCAGCCTCCAACCTCAGCTCAACCTATTAGCTGATTCTTCTGATCCTGTCTTCCCCCGTGTGTTTATCCAGCTTCCCCCCACTGCCCCCTGCCACTCCCCACCTCAACGTATTGATGCTATGCCCTTCGAGCACTCCCTGGGAGAGTGAGTTCTGCACTCATTCCCCCATTTCTCTGGGTGATGTCCTCCTCCTCCATTCCCAATTTGGGTTTATTATTTATCAATCACAAAAAGTTGGTTTGCAGATGCAGCACGTGGCAGCAAATGGAATATTGTCCTTCATTGCTAGAGGGATTGAGTTTAAAAGCAGGGAGGTTATGCTGCAGCTGTATTGGGTGCTGGTGAGGCCACACCTGGAGTACTGTGTGCAGTTTTGGTCTCCTTACTTGAGAAGGGATATACTGGCACTGGAGGGGGTGAGAGGAGATTCACTAGGTTGATTCCGGAGTTTGAGAGGATTGGCTTATGAGGAGAGATTGAGTAGACTGTGGCTAAACTCGTTGGAATTTAGAAGAATGAGGGGGGATTTTGTAGAAACATACAAATTTATGAAGGGGATAGATGAGCTAGAAGCAGGGAGGTAGTTTCCACTAGCAGGTGAAACTAGAACTAGGGGCATATCCTCAAAATAAAGGGGGAGCAGATTTAGGACTGGTTTGAGGAGGAACTTCTTCACCCAAAGGGTTGTGAATCTGTGGAATTCCCTGCCCAGTGAAGCAGTTGAGGCTGCCTCATTGAATGTTTCTAAGGCAAAGATAGATTTTTGAACAGTAAAAGAATGAAGGGTTATGGTGAGTGGATGGGCAAGTGAAGCTGAGATCATGATCATGAAAAGATCAGCCATGATCTTATTGAATGGCGGAGCAGATTCATGGAGCCAGATGGCCTACTCCTGCTCCTGGTTCTTATGTAGACAGATATTTACAGAGCCAGGTTTGGTTATTTCCCACAAGTGGAAACATCGTATGTACGTCTGCCCCGTTGAACGCCTTTCCATGATGTTAAAGTGTTGTTTGGTAAATCCACTCCATTCTCTGCAGTGCCCTCGTAGATGCGTTTCGGATGTTCACCAGTCTCTGAAGATGCTTTGAATAATTCAGAGACTGGAATTGCATTCGGTCATTCAAGCATGGCTTAACCAAGTCTGTAAACGTTTACGATCTGTCTGGTCCCCGGTCCCGGTATTCTGGAAGTGAACTCTGGTGCCTGTTTAATGGCCTCAATCATTGCTTCTTTGTCTTGTGGGTGTTGCTGTCCAGGCCAGCATTTTTTTGCTTATTCCTAATCGCCCCTGGAATGATTGGCTCTTGAGGCCGTTCCAAAGGGCAGTTAGGAATTGCCCCTATCGTTAGGAGTCTGGAGTCTCACACAGGCCAGACCAGATTTCCTTCGCTGAGGGACATTAATAAGCCAGATGGGTTTCTTACAACAATTGACAGCTGTGACATGGTCAGTCTTTGTTTTAATTTTATTCCAGATTTAACTGAGTTCAGATTTTACCATCTGTCCTGGTGGGATTTGAACCCGTGTGCCCTGAGCATTAGGAAGCAGACACATGTCTGCTGTCACTTTTATCATTTATCACTAAGTCACCGGTGAGCGGACCTCTCGTATATTAGAGTTTTACTTTCTCTGTAGCTGTAACACTCTGTTCTGCTCTAATAGAATAAAAGAATCCCTACAGTGTGGAAGCAGTCCATTTGGCCCATCGAGTCGCATACTGACCCTCTGAACAGCATCCCAACACCTTCCCCCGCCCCCACAAACCTATCCCTGTAACCTTGCATTTCCTGTGGCTAACCCACCTAATCCACAGTCAATAACTGTGGAGCTGGAGAAGCACAGCTGGTCAGTCCTGATGAAGGGTCTTGGCCCGAAACTTTGACTTCCCTGCTCCTTGGATGTTGTCTGACCAGCTGTGCTTCTCCAGCTCCACGTTTATTGACTCTAGCGTCCAGCATCTGCATCCTTACTGTCTCCAAGCCACCCAGCCTGCATATCCGTGGACACTATGGGTAATTTAGCACAGCCAATCCACCCTAACATATTACATACAATATGTAAGAACACATATTGGAAGTGTGCAATGAGGTGGAGCGCCTTCTGCCTGGATCTACCGTGCATGGTTTGCGGGAATTATCCTGATGTGTTCGTCGGTGGGAAATTGATGCCCACCGGTTGCCAGGCTGTATAGAGGAAGGCTGTCCCCTTCTCCCAGGACTGGCACAAGAGGCTACAATATTAGCATCGTCCAAAGTTGCCAGGGCAGGTCTCTGGAAGATGGCCCAGCAATACAGAACAAAGGTCATTCATAGCATCCCTACAGAGTGGAAGCAGGCCATTAGGCCCATCGAGTCTACACTGATCCTCTGAGGAGCATCCCAACCAAACCCATCCCACTGCCCCTATAACCCTGCATTTCCCATGGCTAACCCACCCAGCCTGTACGTCCCTGGACACTGTGCAATTTGGCGTGGCCAATCCACCCTAACCTGCACATCTTTGGACTGCAGGAGGAAACCGGAGGAAACCCACACAGACACGGGGAGAATGTGCAAACTCCACACAGACAGTCGCCCGAGGGTGGAATCGAACCCAGGTCCCTGGCGCTGTAAGGCAGCAGTGCTAACCACTGAGCCACTGTGCCACCCTGAATGACTGGGCCCCCGCCGCCTGCTCGTTCTGAGATTGTAGCTCAGCCAAGGCCAACCCTCTGGAGAGGGCTCAGATGGTCCTGCTCCCCACCGATGTCTTGCTGTTTCTGGAGCACGGTGTGTTTGCAGATTGGGACAGTTGCCTGAAGACCTCTGTCGCTTACATGGGTCAGTATTGATTGGCAGGGAATAACTCATGCCCGTTTCTTTGCCTGCAGCGTGGTTAAGAGCCAGTCCGTGTTCAGTCGGGTCTGTGAGGTGAGGAGGGAAACAGAGGCACGGGAGCAGGAGGAGGTCACCGGCCTATTTAGGTAATTTTGCTTTTTACTTTGAAGTGGGGTGGGGAAGGGGCTACGGGATGTGGGGAGAAGGAAGGATGCATCTGTTCTCCACGTTCTTCCGGCCTAGACCCTGGGCCAAGGAACATTCCGGCATGTGCAGCCCAGCTCCGAATTGTTATGGCCGAGATTCTGACTGGGTTGGCACAGGATGGTAAGTCCCAGCCTTCACCAAGGCTGGTGTTGGTGGTTGTGAACGGTAGGGTGGGTGGGGGTAGTCCATGTTGGGTCACGGTTCAGCTCCTGGTCTTGAGACTTCTAGTCAGCTGTACAACAACAGACTGCATTTGTGTACAGCCTCTCAGCACGGCAGGAAGTTACTGCAAAGATGTTCAAGAGAACGTGGGATGGCGTTTAGGGTAAAGTTAATGTGCAAGGGTATTTGTGCGGGGTGGGGGGAGGAGTGGGGGGCACTGGAGGCTGAAGCTGGTTCGAAGGGCTAGTGCAGGCATGATGGGCTGAATGGCAGTCTGCACCATAATGGTTCTGTGAATCTGTGAAAGCGCTTCTGAAGGGAGGTCACTGTTACGACATAAGACGGAACCACCAATTTGAGCACAGCAAGATCCCAGAGTCAAAACGTCATTTTGTTGGAGTGATGTTGGTTCAGGGAGACTGGGGTTGGGGTTGGGGGGCGTGGTGTAATTCGGGTAAGGGAGGTTCTTTCAACAACATTTACCAGCACCCATACCCCAGTCTTGGCTCGGTAATCCCTTTATCCTTGGCTAACAAGCATGTCTGTCTGTATTAAATGCTTCATCTCCTGCATCTCCCCCCAACACATGCAGAGTCAACTATCTTTGGGGAGAGAGTTCCATACTGCCACCCCCTTGGAAATACTGCCACGGGATATCGTTTGCATCCAGCAGAGAGGGAGGTCTGGGGATCTGTTTAAACCAGTTGTCTGAAAGATGGCACTGCTGACAATGCAGCAGTTCCTAGTACTGCAGCGGCAGTGCCAGTCTGGATCCTTGTGTTTAAATCCTGCAGTGGGACCTGATTACACCTTTCTAACTCTCAAAGCCCAGTGCACCCCAACAAAGCCACAGCTGATCCCAGGTGCATATAAACATTCAACATGTTACAGAGCTTGAGTGAGCAGATATTTGACGCACAGTCACAGAAGGAGGTCTCAGGACACTAAAATAAAAGAAAGATATACAAGAATGTTGCCAGGGTTGGAGGGTTTGAGCTATAGGCTGAATAGGCTGGGGCTTTTTTTTCCCTGGAGCATCGGAGGCTGAGGGTTCACCTTTATAGAGGTTTATAAAATCATGAGGGGCATTGATAGGGTGAATAGCCAAGGTCTTTTCCCCAGGGTATGGGAGTCCAAAACTAGAGGGCATAGGTTTAAGGTGAGAGGAAAAGATTTAAAAGGGACCTAAGGGGCAACGTTTTCACGCAGATGGTGGTGCGTGTATGGAATGAGCTGCCAGAGGAAGTGGTGGAGGCTGGTACAATTACAACATTTAATTAACATCTGGATGGGTACACGAATAGGAAGGGTTTAGAGGGGTATGGGCAAATGCTGGCAAATGGGACCAGATTAATTTAGGATTTCTAGTTGACATGGGTGAGTTGGACTGAAGGGTCTGTTTCCATGCTGCATCACTCTAAAGCACTGCAGGTGCTGGAGATCTGAAACAGCTGGAGAAACCCAGCAGGTCTGGCAGCATAGAACATAGAACATTACAGCGCAGTACAGGCCCTTCGGCCCTCGATGTTGCGCCGACCTGTGAAACCAATCTG